GCATTTTTCAGTGTTACATGAACAAACTAGGTTTTCACTGGATTTTTAGAATTTTTAACAAAGACAACGTTCTTCAGTATTGCTTATCATTCGTTCAATTTCTAACTTTGATAATCGTCCTTTTTCATTACGAATTGTGATATTTGTACTTTTTCCAGTAGATTCATCTTTAGCTGTACAATTCAATATACCATTAGCTACAAGAAACGATATTCTTAATTGAATAAGGACAGCATGACTGACTATCTATGTTTCAGGCGTGCCATAGTAGTAAGGTGTTGGAAATTCAAAAAGACAGCAAAAAATCGTTTTTCATTTTCTTTGGAGTGAGTGAGTGGAGGACATCGAATTACTTAGAAAAAGTCACTTCAAACTTTTGAAAAGTCATTTTTGGGTGGAAAAATTTTAAATTTTGGTTTTTAAAAAATAAGCAAAAATCAATAAACTTTTCTAAAATCAACCGGTGTTTTATGTTCACTTCTATTTTCAAATTTCGAAACTATGATATTCTAACTCAGCATGCCAAAATGAGTATAACAAATTAAACTGAAGATTTTTAAAACTTAAAATGGCTTCAGAATTTGTTGGATACAAGCAGAATCAAAAAAATGCATCTGCAAGCCTATCTAGTCCGAGAGTTTAAGAGATATATCAAGATCCCATATTTAATTCCAGTCATCTTACTTGTAGAAAAAAACTATTATATCCTTTTTCGAAAATATGACTTCGTTGTTGAGAAAATAACTTTTTTAAATATAGTGAAAAACGCAGGAGAGTCTACTCGTGTTCCGCTGTTTTTATCATCAAATTTCAATTTTTTCGCAAAACTCAGGTCATGCTCGAAATTAGCATCAAAAATTAAGTCAAATGACATGTATTTCAAAATTATTGAACGACTTTCATTTTTTCTAATATTTTGAAAATTTTGTTTTCAAACTTTAAAATAAGAATGTAGGTTAAAAAGCGATTGATTTTTGAAAATTTTACTGATTTTTGTCATTTTTTTTTAAATTACTCTGAGCTGTCTATCTGTGAAGAAAACAATTTATTTGAATTTTATACTTTTTTGAGCCATGAGTTGGTTTTTCAAAGATCTCTTAGAAATTGGAAAACTATTCCTAAACTTAGTTTTTATGAAAAGATGTACTGAAGTTTTGGCTATGAAGTCGGTACGGATGATAGCACTTTCGTGACACGTGACGAAAGTGTATGGCATTTTTGGGGGAGTACCACACCACACTTTGGTCACAAGAGTGGCGAGCTTTCGTAACCAACTGTATAACATACCTACAACTATCGTCACATACCATCGCGAAGTTTCGTCACAACTCAGAAAGGACTTTCGTCACACTAATAACATAGAACTGCTTACATGTGGACTATTCCAGACCGAGCTACTCCCAAATGCAATAGATGCTTGATTTTGATATTTTGACTTTAGAAAAGGCTTCAGAAGCGTTTTTTACGCGTTTCGCCAAGAAAATACAATGTTTGTAAAGAAAAAAGCAAAAAGTTATTACTCCAGTTTGCACTGCTACAGCTTGCATTACTGCAACTTGGACTACTCCAGTTTGCACTACTACGCTTTGGAGTAATGAATTTTGCACTACAACGTTGATTTCATCGCAGTCGTTTCATGCAACGTGTGACGAAAGCGCCGACCTGTTTTAAAAAACCAGACATTTTCGTCACAACCAAAAACAAACTTTGGTCACATAACGGGTTAACTTTCGTAACCACTATTCAAACATGGTTAAACTTTCGTCACATGCCGAGAGAATATTTGTCACTGAAAACAGAAGATGAAAGTTCAGCGTTACCCGATGACGAAATTGCGGTCGTCGTCGCTACTTGCTATTTTTTGAAGACTTCGTAGTAATAACTATTATATTCTTGGAGCAGTACTTGTAAGAGTTCATGACAGTAATAAGTAGTTTTGAAAATACTTACCAATTTTTCAAGTACTTATTAAGTAATCAAGTACTTAGATAAAATACGCTCACTGGGAGACACATTCACATTATAATTTGAGATGATAACAGTAAAACGGATTACCGGGCATTGGGATGCAACGACACCATCATATTTCCGGTCATAACGACAACGCTCGCCCGTTAGTAATCAAACCAATAGAAGTTGCGTTTTAATATCGTTGTGTTCTAATATCTCTGCACTTCATCGCCATTGCGCCGTAATACGTTACCTTATACTTAAAATAAAAGTCGGTTATTCAATGAGTAACCTTTTATTTTTCTTTTATAAATGAAAAAATAAAGAGAAAATATTCTCACGTGACACAAAAAAAGTAAAACAAAATTGAAAAACCACCAGTGATTTGGCTGTAGTATATTAAGTACACTGTAGATGAACATTAGAAAAAAGAGAAAAACAAATATGCGTATGTATAAAGCAACAAACAACAATTGAACAAAATAAAAACAAGAACAATAGGGGAGATAATGAATAGATATAACAATAATTGTATATGCTTAATTTCTGATTATTCTTTGTGCACACATAATCTATATATACGTCCTATGTTAACATTAAATAAGCAAGCATATATTAAACTAATCAAACTTAATATTTGGCACAACGGCATCTTCTTTCATTGTCAGATCATTTTCTAATTCATTTGTTGCGATTGCTGTTCTAGTTAAATCATTATAACCTCCACCACTTATTTCATCAATATTGATACTATTACTGCTATTCATATCGCGAAACCATACGTGTCCTAATATATCATTGGATAATAAACGTTCATCTGGTTTAACACGAATTAATGATCTCAGCAATGAACGTGCTTTTAATGTTATTGTACGTGAAATGTCTGGTCGACAACGTCCAATTTTAATAAATAAACCCATTAATGTTTTATCACAAAACGGATAACGACCAAATAACATCGTATATAAGATAATACCTATAAATAAATAATTTCTCTTTCATCATCATTATCTCAAATAATATCTAGTTTTAACAATATTTTTATCAATTTTTGTGAAAAATAACTAACTTTAGTTTACCGCAAAGACTCATAAAAAAAGCTTCTGTTTTAATCATGAACAATTCTGCCTTTACTCTTCTCCTTTCTCTACCTACCTAAACTCCATGAATCTGCCATTTTCCCCGAATACATTTGACGATTTAAAACAATTTCAGGACAAGCATAAACCGGACATGAAAAACGAGATGAAACGAGATCATTCGTTGTATCTTGTAATATAATAGCATCATCAAGTCCTGTTAATAGTAGTTGTGTATGTTGTTGATTTGTAAATATAATTTTTCGTAATTTTAAATCTCGTACAATGAGACCAACTTGATGACACAATTTAACACTATTAATTATTTGTGTGAATAATCGTCGACACTCATTTTCATTGAGACGATGTTTTTCTGTTATATACGTATGCAAATTTGATGAATATTTTGGATATAGAACAATGGCTGTTGATTGTAATGTGATGATTTCACGATAAAAATGTATATGATATTTTGATGATAACTGATTAATTATTTCATAATCAGATGTTGTACCACGTTGATTTAACGATAAATTATTGATGTGTGATGTTGTAGAATGTGCAAACATTGCTTCATCTGTTTGTACAAATGTTTCTGTTTGCAATGATTGTGTTTGATAATGATAGGTGTTCGTTGAATGTTTTCTGAGCATTATATTTGCTAAACGATAATAGGGTTCAAGACGTTGTCTTAATGTATCCAGTGGAAATTCTTTATATAAGCATTCTTCACCGGTTACTCGATGACGTGCACAACGAAAATCATCAAACTTGATTTCAGTTAGATCATAATCGCCAACGTGTCGAACGACAGGTTGGATCGGTGATGGTGAAAGTTGTTCTGCTTGAGTTGTTGTTGTTGTATCACCGGTATTTTGTTGTGGTGGACTATTTTGTGCCGATAAAGGTTCAATAGACGCATTCTGAATAGTTTGTGCAGCAGTTACAAAAGGATTAACTAAGTTTCCGACATCAGGTGTTAAAGGACCAGAATCGCTTGGTATTGTTGATTGTGATGATGATGTAGACAACGATGAAACAAGTGAACGACGAAGATTTGGTGGATATTTAACAGATAAGGGGATGGAAGACGATTGTAAAACTTGTGAGGAATTCATAAGGAATGAGCTACGAATGTAATTACAGTTATATGAAAAATTGTATTGTCTTTTAAGTAGAGTTTTTGACGTTTAAACTAAACGTAATATATAATTTTTTTTAGTTTCGTAAATTTGTGAAAAATAAAAAGTAGACGAAAAGTTTTTATTATTTACAAGTGTTCAAGTTTCTCCATATCAAACTTTGTGTATGCAATTGCGTTATCTGACGTTATCATTGGTGGGTTACTAAAATGAGTAAAAAAACGTATGGATAAGTATTCATATATCGATCCGTATTATATAATTATACAACAGTGTTTGAATTTCACAATCGAACTGACTATACTAAGGACTATATTGATGAAATATTGTGAAACATTTCTACATTAACACATTACGCAATTTCTTTTAATTGTGTCAGATATATTGAGAAACAAGCGCTATCATAAAAGAAAGATTGCTCTAACAAACGGGTTTCTTGAGAAATATCTTTCACTAGATGTCGAAATTTTATACTCAAGAAGTGTTTTTACATAGCGCGTATGCGTTTCATAATTTTTAAAACGATATAGTCATGTTGCTGTCATTTACCCTACAACAGTCTCAAAATATGTTTTCCTGGATAACCCGAAGGAAGTTTCATTCTAATTTATACAGATGCTCAAAAATTTGTAACTGTAATTGTATAAGATTTCTGTTGCACAATCTTCCACATAGTACAATAGTGAAGAAGCGATGATCTAACTGCTAAGATGCATAATTTTATTTTTTTTTCTCTTTTTTCTTTTGCATAATCTTACTATCACTTTATCATTGATTTGTGTATATTGTGTTTTAATCGAAAACTGATTGTATGAAAATGGGACTATTGACATTCTGTTGTATCGTTCTTTCTTCATGCCAATAGTCGCATAAATGGAAAACCCAGTACGCATAAATTCAACTAGTATATTGAGAGAACAAAGTATTCGTTTAATGAGAAAGCTGATAAATTTTTTAAAAATATTGAAAAAGAAACCTGCCAGTTATTTTGATCATCACCAGTTTATCAAGTACAAAACTGAGATACTAATAGTGCACTCTAAAAATAAAAGTATGGATAAAACTGCTCTTTTTAGAAACCGCTTTTCCGCTGAACACTTTTCAGAAAGATCACTTCTAAAACGACCACCAGAGGAACACTTTTGAAAAGTGATTTACAGTGGAATACTTTTGATAAAAGGTCAGTTTCAGAAGAAGCGAGTTAAAGTACTAAAAGGGTTCCACAAAAGAACATTTTTTGAAAGTATTCCTCAGTGTAGCATTTTGAAAGGGCGGGAAATTTGAGGCGCTCCTTCCAGCTACACATTATTTTTTACGATGTACTTCGTTGATCTAAAATAACTTATCACGATTGTTGTTCACCTTGAGCTGAATAGTCTATGTATCGGACTTGTTGTTCGTCGTTTGATATGCATGACCTATTATCCGACTCATAGTTGAAGCTTCAGTACATTCTGTACATATCTCTATCATGTAAAATCGTTTCCAAGTTTACTTCCACTTTGTGTTAGTGGTACTCGTGTCTCAATTAATAGTGTCCAACTAATAAATTTCAAAAGTGACTCGTAAATCATCGATTCGTGATCTACAAGTTACAATAAACAATACATGAGTGTAGCATGCGTGTCATTCTAAGAATCAAAAAGTCTTATCAAATATTAACAATATAATATTTGATATTTTAACATTCAGCCATACTCAGACAATATGAAGATTCGTGTTTATTGTACTTCTCCCTCTTCTGCTAAATGAACTAAATAAACTTCTATGAAAATCTATTCTTCTCTCCCTACTCATTGTATTCAAACAACAATTCAATTGCAGACACCACGTTGCATGTTTCTTTTCTTTACACATTGTCTACAACGCACACAACATACCCTGTGTGTACGTTCTCTCTTTTAATCGAAATGTAACTTATTAGAAATCATGGCCGACTTTCTCTTCTCGACATTTAGTTCTCTACCCGTTTCTGTGTACAATTGTTTTTTTAATAACATTCTCCATGTATTCAGTCTCATCATACATATAAGCAAAATGACATACAATCTTATGACCATGAACACAACATCGTTTTCATCGCATCTCTCTCTCTCTCACTTTCTCTAGAAGCTCAATGATTATTTAACGTTTAGACGCACATTTTTTCGCACTAACATAAGAAACTTTCACTTTTTTTTAATTTATCCGAAAGTTAACTAATTGTCAAATCCTTTAATGGAATATTCGTTCTTCTGTTAATATGTGATGATTAGTGTGTACATAGAATCAATACTTATTTTCTAGGCTATACTCTCGATTATACTGAGAATCGGATTTCGCTCTAATTCAACTTAACATATCAAGGAGAACCATTTGTTCTTCTAACGTAGTCCAACTTACCCTAAAGTTTGCAGAAAGAGAAATCAAACCAAAAAGAAATATCAACTACAATAGCATAATAAAAAACTACTATTCCTGAATAAAAACGTGAGTCAAATATGTAGAATATTCGAGATGTTTCTAATAAAGCTGCTGTAAGATTATTCGGTGCAGTGTCAAAAAAATGCTTACCTATTATTATTTTTTATACAGTCATCAGATCCAGAGACAGCCAAACCGTTTGTACCCAAAGTCCAAAAGCCGTTGAGAGATCGATTGGTGGTATGATAAATATTTGTTACCATCTTGTATTATACTTATGCAGTTTGAAAGAGAGAGGAGAGGAAGGGGGGAAAGTTTTACGTAATCGTTGTAATTGTCGACGTTCTAATTAATGTTGATTTGTGAAATTTTTTAAGAGTAGATCTATAATGTCTGTTTATGTCTCTTCTTTTTGCTTCTTTATCTTGCATTTATGTTGGAAACTCAGAAATATATGTCTTTTTTTTCTTGCTTTCTTCTCTTTCTCTCTCTATATCGAAAAGGTTAAAAGGAGGAGAAAAATGAGAAGAAAAAAAAATATATCTATGTATAAAGCAGATACCTATAGAAAATTAACACGAATAAGTTTTTTTATGTGGAGTCGCTCAGAATTACGAAGTGTATTAGTGTGTTTTTCTCTCTTCTTCTTTGCGTAGTACGAGAGTTATGGTGGTTTAGATTGCGATGACGAAAAGAAATGACGAAATTGCAACACATCAATCGAGAAAGATTGTGCAAGAACACAATACAAGGGGAAACAGAGTAAAATAAATTATTTCGACGCTTTAAACTATTATATGTTTGCGCTGTCATTGTATGGCAACACTCTGTAAAAATCGTGCCTTTTTCTTTTTCTTACTTGCTACTAGAACGTGAAGAATACACGTGAATTTTGACAAGATTCTACGAATACTAGTAACAACTAAATTTTGTGGTAATCCATATCCATCGAAACGATGCAGAGCAACTTTTTAGACAAATAAATATCTCTACGTCATGATGACATTTCGCAAATATCTCAATGACTCATGTTGGCTTGCTGTTTCCTCCATATGAAAACTTTTTTTCTTTTCATGTACATGAGTAAAACTACAGCGTTATGAAAATAATTTTTAAGTTATAACGTAATCTATTTTCAAATGCGAAATAGATTTTCTAAGAAATTGTAAATTCGCAGTAAAATACAGCAGGAGTATTATATTTTATTTTGATGTTTCAGAAATCAAACATTAGCATATGGTCTTCTCTGTACAATTCTCACTGCCAATAGCGAAGCTTACACAAGTTTAGAGACACCTTCTTAAATAATAAAGCAAGTTTGCTAGTGCATTGCCGTTACTTTCTTTCTTCAGTTACTTTTTGAAGTACAAAATGTTGCCTTAGAGAACTATGCACATTTTCTCATAAACATTTCTGAATGAACGAATTCTCCAAATTGCTATTCACTAAAATAAAATGCTTACAAGTCTTCTGTAGTTTTTAAAAAGAAATATCCATTTTGTTCTTAATCAACTAGTCTTTACTGGAATACAAAGGGGGCAAATTTTGTCAACGTTTCACGATATTGAGGTCATGCAGACATCAAATGCGTGGACACGTGTGAAATTTCTATAATTTCACAAGCGAAAATTTCTTTTTATGTGTCCACACACTATTGGACGACTGTCAGTAGTGATCACGTGTGAAAAATATGACACAAAAAGTTCCGTGAACAGTTCACGTGTTGTCACAAGTGGAATATTTTTTCCATCATTTTACGATTTTCGCGTGCGACCACAGTTCATTTCACGATCTTCACTGGTGTATAAGCCGTTTTATATACTAAAATTTCCCCATGGTAAGGTGTTATCTGTACGAAAACGTGAATATTAATTTTTTTCACATAACATTTTGATTGATCTAGATAAAAGGAAAATGAACTTCAATATGCTACTTTTTGAGGATATAATTATTAAAACTACTTTTTTTAAACAAAGTACATAAGGTAACGCATAATTTAACGATGAACGAATGCCTTGAAACGAAAAGAATATCAGTTAGTGTTTAGTACCTGGTTATTGTAGATTCGTGAAAAATTGTATGCAATATTTCTCTTTATGTGAAATTAACCAACCATACCATGGTTAATGATGAAAAGTTTTTTTTAAATTTGTCAGTATAACTCTTTTAGAATATTCTTTTTTCTAAAAGCAGTCTGATTTTGATATTGGAAAAAAATAGGCTTCGATTCAGAATTGAACTCAAAATATATATATTACTTGTTCGCCGAAACAATCATTAATCTCCTTTTTTATTTGCTCTTACGTATGTCAAAGATTTTCAATAGTAGTTGTATTTGATTGAGAGAATTTCAAGGTTTAGATTTGTCTGATAAGTTGTAATGTCGTAATAAAGACGACTTTGACTTCTTAATGTAGACCGAAGAAGATAGAGTGACATAAATCTTGTATAACGTTTTTATGATATAATAGAGCTCGTTTGTTCTTTTTCTTTGAATTCATTTAAACAAATTCATCTTTTATTTTTTACATAATAACTCTCTCATGTTGTAATACATCTCTGTATTCGTAGTG